TCTGGTCATGACTTCACGACCCGTTCTCTTCGCCGTGATGAGGTTCAACCTAGTGCAACAATTAAACAGAAACGAGCAAGTAACGTAACGAGGTTTCCACTAAGCTTGTATCTAACAATGGTAGGACTTCAGACACTTAGGCTGTAAATGTATCTTACCTAAGACACTATATCAGTTACATACGAGTCATTTTCCAAGGGCCGTTGCTGAACATGTCGATGCAGTTTGGCTTGAGATTTTAAACCTTTTGTACCTACTGTGTAAAGTAGACAGCTTTACGGTAATCTACTTATACTATAATTATTTATGATGAATTTGCAGTTACAGATGAGTTCAGGAATAAGAGTCAATCAGGCAGGCCGCATAACGAACGAAACAGCCCACCAGGACTGAAATAGAGAAGTAGGAAATCATTAGAAGAATATAAATATCAGGAAGGTGTTCCAGCAATTCAAAAAGGTTCAAGAAGGGAACTTTGCTAAGAGCAATGGTGGTTCTAATTGAGCGTTGGCTTTTTGTCTCAAATACAAAAGATACGTTCCTTGACACTTCTTCTGGATAAGGTTTACGTGGATCTTGCAGAAGTATGTGCCCGAGTGAATCATGGATAACGGTAGAAGGGGCAAATAAAATCAAATTCTTTTGTTGATTAATAAATACACAGCTACAAAATTCGTGTTCTGGAACTCTGAAACTAGAAGTGAATTTCTGATAGGGCAGATGGGACTGAATGCAACGACTAGACTGAGCAACAAATATATTTCTGTGTTGCTGGAGTAACCCTCACAGAATAACAGATTATTCTGCGTTTTCGGATTTATGGTGGATCTACGTCTGAAAATTATAACTCCGACAAAATAGATATCGTGCTTCAAGGACCTGATCTTTATATTTAAATGAATGAAAATAAAGACAGTTGTTAATCTGTTTAAAGGATTGGCGGTATAATCAATATAGTACTGTGTGGAAGCATGGGTTTCGAACCCATCTGTATGGACTTTTTCAAATAGGTACTGATGTGCGCGACAAAAGCGCATAATTGCAATTATTCACAATTCATTGCCACTCATAATAACTTACCGATCGTTAAAATAACTACTACTATTCACGTGTTAAAAATACTTAAGCAGAACTTTTGAATGTTTGTTCTGCCAGTCCGCCCTTAATCTGGAATTGTCCAGCGCGGCCCTGTCAAAGCAGGTTTTAAATAGAGCACTTTTGCGTTTGGTGACAGCTTGTCGATATAGTAAATTCTCCGAGTAATCCTTTTCTGTCAGTGGGACCGGTACCAAGTTCAGCGAAAATCATTCATTGTCGCATTAGAACGACTTCGCTAAATGATCATTATGACGTATATTTAGATGGCAGCCTTTTTTTTTTCGGGTACTGTTATTTGCATTATTGCAATATACGGTTCCACCTGATATCCTACGATTTGTGTGTTGGCTTCACTCATTATCGAAGGATCCTTCATGTCCATTAACGACGCAACTGAGTGACTGTATTCAGCTAACCGTTTCCTTCCTTTTACATTGATCCTATTTTCGCATATGACGCGATGATTTACGCTGCGTGTAAATTCGAAGAAATCTCGTCTCATTTAGTCAAAGAAATCATCAGGCCAGGAGAGCCCCGAGTTTAAATTTTTCGAACAACGACTGTGTACACGGCGACAGCGGCAAATGGTCTTCATGCAACTGAAAATACTCTACTACACGTAACTTGCAGAAGCGCTTGAGCGCCTAACTGCCCATTCGTTTCTTACCCTGCCGTTTCATCTGATGAGCTACCCCCTTAACGGGTGGCCGACTTTGGCAGCGTTCGTATGGAAAACGAGGCGAGACAGGAAGGGAAGATGGATAGAGGGAAGAAGTTACTCACAACGAGAAGCAGAAGATAAAGATATTTAACAATACAAAGGGGCAGACTGTGGCATTTGAGTATCATCAAAAGTGTCTCTGTCCCGCGTTACACCCCTCCGCATGTTTTTCGCCTTCTGAAGTTGCCCATTACTTAGATTACCCCCGTTCTTTCCTGTTTGTCTTTTCTGCTAAAGGATATGTGAGACTGTGACCAAAGGATATTTTCTGCCGCTAAGAGATGCAAGTTTTTCTTCATTGGTTAAAGAAGCCAACAGTAGTTGCGGCAAAAATATCAGTAGCAACTTCATAAAATATAAACAACATGTCCTATTTCGCTTGAAGTACAGTTAATTTGCGTTTCGCATGGTCGAATATCTCTATGCGATGGCAAGACGTAACGATCTAACCTCGTGTTTTGCCTCCCGTTGGAGCACTGTCGCAGTGCTGTGTCTGTCATTGCCTTTACTTTCCGTTTCTTAAAAAGGAGACAGTCAGCGGACATAACAAGCCGAAGTAGCCTTCGAATCGATGAACTGTAGGACGGTCATGATTCGTCCACTTTTGTTCTTAATCTCGGTGGAAACTATAGGAAATATATATATATATATTGACGCACATACACTAAAGAGTAGTACGGACTAATCACTGAGTGTTCTTAAATGGAGTAAGCTTTGGTCTGGGTCCAAGGTTTCCGGCACTTTTTCAGTTGAATAGAGTTGACATGCGCCTATATTATATGGATAATCCATCCAGTCACATCGAACGTGAACTTTTATGCTTAACGTTCATATTGCAACTGTATCTGATGCGGTTGGATGCGTTAGAACCTTTGCAGTATTCCCACTCAGTAAATCATAAATGGTTTTGAAACTGGAAGATTCCATATAATGCCTTTGTGTGTAAAAGGCATTTTTATTCATTATCATTCAAAGATGTATCAGAACACCAATAGGTTCTCTTTATTAATCACAAGTGATCAAAACTAATGCGGGCAACAGCGTCAATAACAACATCACAATGTCCAGAGGCTGCCAGGTTACGCAAAACCATAACTAGCAGCTGTGCAGCGATTAAATACGATGGCCTTATGGATTTTGGTGGTCTCCTGCTGCTGGCCCGGGGTAAACACATTTTCATTAGAACCTTCAAAAACAGCTTCCCGAACGATTGTATATCGTCGTATATAGGGGCGACATACGAGCAGGCCACCGAGGAGTACAACATCAGTGTAGCAGTCGTCAATCGCTTCGATAATCAGAACTGTTATAGATCCGAATAGTATCGGTCGCACCGGAGCAAGAGACAGGGCTAAACGAGGTCCGAAGGACTTTTTTTTGGATACTAATGAGCTACCATCGTCCCTAACGGATTACACATGTATAACCGCGCACATGCAACGTGCTGGTCGCCCATACGCAGACTGTTATATATGTATATAGAACACTAGAGGAAGGATTCAGGGATGTGTCGTGGGCGATGCTAATGCCATCGAAATACAGCCGACTAACATCCTTTAATAGAGTCGGACCTCAGATAAAGTGGTCGTGGTCGTGGTCTGTAGTGTTTATAGAACGCTAAAGAAGAACATTGCATTTGCGATCTGGCTGTTACGGTTACAAGGTCAGTCGGCCATATTTTTACTATCATCAGACCTCAGAAGGTTGATAATGCCCGGAGGCTACTTACTGTTTGGCTTGCTTAAGTTTTTAATATTGTTCCACCTCAGAGTTGCATTCACTCGCGTAAATTAATTACATTCTTTACCCAGTCAAAAGTTAGTCCTCGCCGTGTCACAGGCAACAAACCAGTCCTGAATAATATCGATTGATAAGATCTTAGTTTTTTACAAAAAGGTATACAGCTCATAGAATTGAAATCAGTTTTCATGCGGCCTTCTTTTTTTGATACCGCGCGACAAAACAACAGTTCCTTTATTGTGGCTACAACTTGGATATTTTTTGTTTACTTGTGATTATGACGCATTAAACGAACGCTTTGATTAATCTTACATAATAGTGCTACGTAACCTAGTTCAAAGGTTGACCGATACCAACTGTGATGTACGCCTAGAGTCTACCAAGGATTGCAGCTGAAAATAGCAGAATAGACAGGAAGCAAGCGAAAAGACCCAAAGGCCTATTTTAGATCTTCTCCGTTCTTTTGTCCATTTTTCTCCCTTTCGTTAGGTTATTGTGTCGACCTCGTTTCGAACAGAGTGTTTACTAACCTCGATGTAACTTCAACTGCATTGGAAGCGATGACAGGAGCCAGCGAAACGGTGCTGGATAATGGCTGGTTATTTCCAAATGAGCACGAAATAACTAATCTTTGAAATATACAAGCAAAGATGCATCCAGGTAGTGAACTCGGAACGCAAATGCATTTTGTGAAGACGCAACCATATTAACAGTACGTGCGGTAATGGCTACAAGTGCGCTTCAGTAACTTTAACGTCCCTCCCTATTGTAACGTCGATGTTCTGCATTGGTTCCCGCTAGATCTAACTCATTCATCTTCATCCATGATCTGCAGATGATCGAGGAGCGATATCATAGCTTTACAATCATTCTTCGGAACGTTCGTAGTATCGTTTCGTTCGACAGAAGCTTTTTGTCTGTAATAGCGTATGGTATGCTGACCTATAGCAAACTACAGTACGATACCACTTAGAACGTTTCGTATGAGCATATTATAGACTCATTTTCGTCAAACAGGCCTCGAAATTAGAGCGCCGATAATGAGCACGTCCAGTTGATTGTTTTTTCTAAACTAGTGCTAAAACGAAATCATGTCTCTTATACCGTTCACCTAAGGTACTACGCTATTAAGTAGGACAGTTTCATGTAGGTTGGCAATCCGTATGTATTTAAAAAGATAATGGCACTCGACCTTCGAAAGACATCACTAAATCTACAGTTCATCTTTTCACACTGAGGACTCCCGTCCGTTAATGTCTTTTCATCGAGCCAACAGGGCCGACTAACCGAACTTCACAGTTAGAGTAGATGCGGTTTATCCCTATAATTGCTCATATAAGAATAGACAAACCGAATGAATAATGTTTTGCTCTGCAGAGCTTCTTACGTACGTGACCAAATCAAGCTGTAACGTTCACTACTTGGGGTATTCGTATTTCAGTATGCGCTCAGATGGCGAAGGGTATAATGGCAATGATGTCACCGACCGTGAACCAGAGCTTTGAAACGGTTGCGTCAATCTCCAACACGTTTCATATGCCGTTTGTGACGAGTGAATTTCCTGAGGTAGCACGAAGTCGGCCTGCGCTGTTCGGCCTCGCTGTGAAGCCGTCCTATCTTCGGGCTGTCATGGATATCATCAACTATTATCAGTGGCCGTATGTTATCTACATGTACAACTCCAATGACGGTAGGTTACGCTGCTAGGAGCCGCTTTAAACTAAGCAGCTGCTTATGTCGTCTGTATTTCTCACAGGCTATTCGCCTTTTTCTATTCTGAGCATAGCAGATGGCTTTACTCTATATAGGGCTATTGCTATTAATGTTTTGTGCGTTTTAAAATTGATGACCAGATAAAAGCGAGGTAGTTACGTGGCTCACATACTTCACCGATCAGAACATCTACTTCGATCGAATGAATCGTTGTATTTCACTTTGTAGACCTGTCGACTTATATATATATTTAAAGTAGTCGAATCCTTGGAAAGATCGAAATAAAACTTTTAGAATGATTGTCGACCATGAACTCGGCTTGATCGAAATCCGCCCGTCAAAGAGCTCTCGGCAATTTTGGTTGAAACACCTCTACAGTTTCTGCACGAAATTGCAGAGGTGCCCTAATAAATTGAAAAAATATGATATCGCATATAAATTATATGCGGAGAGCCTTAGGCCTTGCGGACCGCTCAGTAACAAGACGGATCGCAAGCCACAATATTTTGTAGATAAATTATCAAAATGGGGCTATAATACTATAATAATTTCCATATTAAAACGTTGGCGTAGGTAAAGGTTCGGGTGTCTCACTGTGAACATGCCAGAATGCGTAAACATCCGCACGGTCGTGTAATATAAACACGTTCGTGTTGCTAGGAGACGTAGCAATGGTACATTGAAGCTTGATTCTCATACAATCCAAACGAATATGACAAATGTTAAAAAAATGAAATTTTTTATGATATTAACAAGTTAATATCTTCAGTCTGTTAGATCTTCGGACGAAAAAACTTTCCAAAAAGCCGACCTATCTAACATATCTCTCAATATGTATCTTATTGATACATATCTCTTAGGCGATAATGCGATAATATCTTCTTCTTATATAATTCTTCTTCTTAATAATCTTCAAAGTATAATGGCCACTTGAATTCTGGAGGGAGATAATCCGTCACTTCAGCGTGTGATGACAAAAGTAGCGTATTGTAGAGTTACTTCAACTTTGTTTGACGTTGTGTCGGATAAGTTGTTGGATCATTTTGTGTGTCTATTCTTCCAAACGGTAAAGACGAATTGAGGTCGCTGGATTTCTATTATTAGTTCCAGCCGTATGCATATTTACCATGTATAAGTTAATTTTTTTTTCTATTTGAACAATTAGCGATTAAGTTACCTTTAAGTTAAAACGATCAGTGAAATGTCTTGATTGAATTTTTAGGCTGACTTTTGTAAATCTCACTTTTCTAGTGGAATGGGAGCATGTATTGAACCTGCCTCAGGCTTTTTCACACTAGAAACCTCAAGCTAACATCTACGTGAATTTCCCGAGAGAAGTTGTTGAAAAAGTTAAGTGTGATATATCCAAAAGTCGACAGAAGAAAACTTATAGACATGTGAAAGCCTTTCATGCGTATACCTTTTAGAAATATATTTTGAATATTCCAATTATTACTAGGTGCCGTAAGTACCGCGGTTAACATATCAGTCTAAGCGGCACCGGAGAATGGATAACACGTTTACAACGAACAAAGCGACATATTTCCTGAGGCGAAGCAGTTTATAAACGGTTTTCACTCGTTGCGAAAAGCAGAAATATCCGCATTTTGTCCTCTGTCAAATTGTGTGGTCAATTCCATTGTAACTTTTTTTACCTTTAAATTAACTTTAGACCAATTATATGACTATAACAGATGTTGGTACCAACCAGTTTCTCTATAGGATGTTTCCTATTCGACTGCTTGGACAAAGGTGGGCAAAATCGTGCGTGCGTTTCGTTTATGTCATCATGTTTATATTCCTTATATCCGAATCTTTACATCGTAGTAACATCACTATGATTCGTGTGCTACAAATAGAAAACTCCTTGTATTATTCAAGGTTGGTAAATCTTCACTGTTTATATACGCTACAATATACAGAGGTAATTGAAAGATATGTGTATAGCCGGCGCGTGATTCACACTAATATTATTTCCTGCTTATGACAGCAGTAACAACTGCAACGTTTGCAGGATATGGGGTCAAATATGTTGTCAGCTTACAAAATCGTACCTAGCTGCTATAGTACTATCCATGAGAAGAGGGCAAAGTAATACGGCAGGTTTTTCATGTCACTTGTCGTCCCTAATCGTCGGCCAAAGTCTTGCGGCCTTTTGCAGACATCAAACTGATTTGTTATAAACATTCGGTCTATGGCAATCGCCTATGTCGACGGTGCCAGGCTCTTGATAACACTTTAGGCCAGCGGCTACGATTCTTACGGTCATTGTTGCTCTCTCATTTATATTTGCCGTATCAGTTGTGTATACATTCAACTTGTACAATTTTCGAAAAAACTATGCAGCGACCCAGTAACTGCTGTAAGCTATCGTATAAGCTTGTTAGGCACCAAATACAATCGGTAAATTGTAACTAACAACTTCAACTGACGAAAGAAAATAAACTACCCGACCATTTTGTTACCTTAACGAGGAAACGTTGGACCTTCTACGTTTAAGCCAACCTGGTGCCAGTGCACATGTGTTCACCAGTAGAGATGCTGCTCCTGTTCGGTCTTATTATATGTGCTCCTGCCCGCAGGACTGGATAGCCAACCACAATTTTTCAGAGCCTAAAAAAATTCGCTTCGCCGTAAATGATTAAGTATTGATTGAGTATTAAGTAATGATTAAGTACATTTGTGCTTCGCCTTTTTGCCAATAAAAAAGCACCTGTTTCAGATCTGTTTCAATATATGCATGCTACACTTGAGTGAAAAATCAGAATCCGCTCAAAGTTACCATTTGTCACATATATTAAGTCGTCGAAAAAGTATTGGTCGTACTTAAAATAAAATTGAGCAAGTATTTGTTGTGTAAGTTATATTACTAAATATGCGCGACCTCTGATCGATGACCTTCCACCATCTTTTCGATAGCATTTGCACAATACTGTTGTAAGTGATCGTTTTTTTATGGCCTGTGATTAACGGCCTTACAAATACTAGATTTCGCAGATTGGGGTGCGATCAAATATATCCCTCTATAGTGTCCAATGGCAATCAAATATCAAACTTTTCCGTAGCCAGTCTTCCCTCAAATGAAGGGAAATTTTTTACTGGTTGATGTTCGGTCCCTTGGAGGAATCATAATTACTCACGCGAACTTTCGCAACAACTTCGTAATTAGTCGACCACTGCGAAGAGCTTCCTTCACATTAAAATTTACTATCTTTAAGCCATATCCGCAAGCAGCAGAGGGTCAAAATAGAGGATTTATTTAATTTAGCCGGTACGGCGCCTGGGCGGCTTGCTAGGCCAACTGAGTTATTTTCCGTCCCTACTATGCGACTGCAATCTCACGGTCTTGACTAATCCTATTGGAATAGCAGAATGACCATTTGAAACCAGACAATAATGAATTCCTTGTCATTCAGAGCTCCCGGCCCACTTTTGCTTTTTACCTTCCTGCTGCTGCTGCCGCTTTGCTCTCTGGCATTTCTGATCTTTCTTCAGCACCATGCTACCCGGCCGTTGTCCTGTTCCCGTCCCAAATAGTATTGCCTCGTATATACGCTTTCTTTAGGCCTGCCATCCATAAATGGCCTACAGTACTAATCCTTGGATGCTTTCCTTACGTGCCGTCTTGGCTTCTTCCGCTTTTTAAGCTTGTTCTCCCCCTCTCGTGGACCTCGCGCGAACTGAACAACGGCGGTAATCCTGAGACTCCATTGTTATGTAAATTTCCTGCGGGTGGACTACGACGATGTCTGACAACAGGGCTTGGTTTCGCACGTTTCGCCATACTTTGAAGCACTTGGCCAAGCAGCAGGACCAGCACGAACAAGAGAATTCCGTCCTGTACTGAGAGTGACGCGGGCGGGAGCAGCATAATGGAGCCACGACTTGTTCTGCTGTTACCATCGGGGAAAAATAAAAACGATTTCTTCGCACGATCTCTTTCTGCTTCTGTATTCCGCTTCGCTGATGCTGGCCTTTGGTGCTGCCACCGCCACCATCGCTATTTGCTGCTTCTTGGCCTTTGTGTCCCCTGCCCGCCTTTCTATTTCTTATCTCTGCTATTTCACTTTCGCGTGAACCTCGGTCGTTTTTGTACATTTTTTGAACCTCCTGCGACTTCGCCTTTTCTGCCTCGACGTCACCGCTCCCTTACATGGCGTCTGCTGCCCTCGTTACGAAATCAGCTTTTGTTGACTTTTGGACGAGCTACAGTCGGCGGAACAGCAGAAGCTGCGATACTATAGATTCGTATAGTTTGGGCCGTCGTTTCTGAAGCCAGCTAACTTACCGTACAGGAAAAGACTGGCCTGAGGGCGGCCACCGGTGAAGTATCATCCTGCAGTCTGCCAGTGTAGCGTAGAATGTAGGCACCATTAACCACCAAAACGCTAGCCAACCGATTCCTGAATAACAATATGACAACAGCTCTCCGCTGGCGGGGTTCATTGCTGTGAGGGACTGAAATGGCGAAATCGATGGAAACAAAAATGCTCGCTTTCTGATGATTGAATTACTAAAGGGGTTGGTCAATCTAGGTTAGGATTGATTAAATTTACTGATTACTCGGCTTTCTTAGATTCAGCGTCAGTCAACGAGCAAGTCGAGATTTTTATTGGGATGGTACATTTTATTTCTGACCTTTACCCGCGTACAGTTTGTCCTTTGAAACGCGGGTTGGATTAGTTCATCTATGCCTTATAATTAGTGAGCAGGAAAACACAGATCGAAATACGCAAATCGCAAGGGGGCTCGACAAAGTGACATTTTTTTTCCAGTTCCTGAGGACTGGGGCCATTTCGGGAGACCGTTCACTCAAGAACAGGCAAATTCTCTCTGACTTTTTTTGAGTAGAATAGGGTAATTGCTTCAAATAATAATTATCGACCGGTGAACGCATTATGAAGAGGCAAGTTGTAATGCTGCGAGAAAATGAGACTTCTTGGAAGGAAGGGTCTGTATAATGAAACTAGGAAACGGAGAACTCTTGCCAGCTGAAACAAAGACAAACGGTCGAAAACACTATAATCATCCTAGGCCTTCGCATAGATCAGTGTTTTTGTCGAGGGTAAAACGGCATAATATCACTACCCAATTCTAAGAACGCAAATGTCGTACCAGATATCGTCTATAGTATGGTGCACAAGTCAAAGTAGATGCAAAAAATTAATTTGTTCATATTCAAACACGAGTACGCCTACAAATGTTTGCTGTGAATTTCCAATCATTTCTGTGAATTCAGAAAAATGAAATTAAAAGTTGGCTAGAGAACATTCGATTAACAGAAAAGTACTTTATTCAGATAGTGACTGGAAAGAGAAAATATTTTAACTCTCTCTCTCTCTCTCTCTCTCTCTCTCTCTGTCCCTCTGTCTACTATCTGCCTGTGTGTGTGTGTGTGTGTGTGCGTGTGTGTGTGTACGTGCGTGCGTGTGCGCGCGCTACTACATTCATGAGCGCCTTTAAGCGACACTATCTGCAGTGAGCCTTCAGGCATCGTTCAAACTACAAGCGTTCTCTCTAATCTTATCAATTCCCTCAGCTGGAACCCGTCAAGCTTATAATAATATCGATAAAAGTATTTAAAAAATATAAATAAGTTTGTGAAACTCAGATTTTACGCAAATTCAGTAAATATTTAAAACTCAGTGCTTCGAGAATGCCGATATTAAAAGTACGCAAACTCTGCTTACATATATATAATATAGTATATGCCCGCAATATTACTCAAGGAAATCAGAATTTGCAATAATTCAAGTAATCCACTAAACATGGTCAGAGTCCACTAGTTGACCGTGTCTGTGATGGGCATTTCCTCATCAACCTTATTGAGCAAAAGCAGTAGTGAACGTACTTGCACAAATTGCTACATAAGGTTCGTTGAGCTGGCCTTAACCCAATAACCCAATCAGCCCGTTAGGCCAACCCAATCGCGAATGCGCTGGTGGTTTTGGCAAGGTCAAGACAGATCCTGTTGTACACCGTCCGCCCCCCTCGCTAGCACCGTTACCATTGGCACGGCTACTAGCATCAGCACTGCCGAGCTCTTTCTATTCCTTTCGCCTCAATCCGTTCCACGGCAAGGGAAAGCCGAAGATGTTCTCACTTGTGTCCCAAAAGAAATACAGACGGGTACCGCTATTGGCGATGTTTCCTGCAGCCGCAGAGTTCGCCTGCTGCACAACGGCCTGTCGGCATGCAATAACGGAAATAAAACCTCAGCATCACATTGCTGACGGAGATATCTTTGGTTCCGGAAAATCCCATCTGACAGTGAAGTCCTTCTCCGATGTCGCATAGTGATGATGAGGTGTGACGACGCAGCCACCGACGAGAGCCGTACAATTCACGGTAGTGCCAGCAGCTATACTACAGCAGCAGCTGAAGGCATAAAAGACGTGTACGACAGGAGTAGTACGTAGCAAAGCTTACGGGAAACCCTATAGCTAATATCCGTCCCTCGAGCTAATAATGAGGCACACCTCCCACACGAATCATTGGAGTCCATTGTGGACAGCAGACAGTGGGCCGCTTCTTTCCCGTGGTGTGGGGATGCTAGAGAAATAAAAGGGAAAATCTGGTCTTTCAGATTGGGCTAGTTTACATGGTCACATTCCTTGACAGTCACCTTACCTTAGTATTGAGGGCTTAATACAAGCAAATCATCCGGTTTTTCAGTCCACCATTGCGGTAGCGTTCTTCATCTTTGTGAATTTCAGTCATGCCCGAAAATAGTACGCCAAAGATGCTTGTCTTGTCATATTAAGTACATTTTATGCTTGTGGTCTAAAACATCATTCCGTAACGTGCACAAGAGGATACTATGACGCAGGTACGGTGGAGCGTTCTGAATTCACCCTGTCTAACTTAACGAGCACAAGTTAACTTATCGTAATTTATTTATTATAACAGGGTGTTTCTAAATGTTTAGTTAGTATTGCAGCACAAATTATGTAGTGGGGGAACTACTACAGTATATTTCTAGTAAGAAGAAGTATTGGTCTATACGCTAAGTGGTTTCACACTACCGATATATATATATATATATATATAAATGATTTGCAGCTTTCCGTGAAAAATTTCCGTGCATACGCCACAGAACAATTGAAATAACACCTTTTGCGAATTCAAAAATAAGAACGTTTTTGTCGTAGAAAATGAGCCAGAACAACACTATTATGTTTAGCGGACAAACATAGCTATCCTATAGAATTGCCCTGCCTCGGATATTACAGTTTCTCCGAGCGTACGTGTTGTTATTACTTGTACTTGAATGTGATCAATGTTCCGTGTATCATATTGTTCTATTAAGCATAGAAAATGATGCTCTCTTGGTGCGGAAAATACAGAAGATTAGCAAAAGACAACCGCACGAGCGTGAATCGATAACAGAGCACTTCAGCGTATGCATCAAGCTCGAAAAGGTCGCTTCTCTAAAGCAGACGAATGTTTACGTATACACGTACATCAACGTGCTGACATGTGTGAGCCCACTTATCTCTGGAATTCTGATAAAATCGTGATATCGTTTTCGAAAACAAGTGCGTTCATATATAATAGTAACGTATCATGACTACAGGGACGAAAGCGATTCATGTTCTAAATAAGGGCTTAAAGGGCATCGTTAGAATTTCAAATCAGAATAGCCCCATGGTCATCCGGAAAAATGGCATGATCAACTGCAATTTTTCGTTTCTATCACTTTCAACTTGAGCAAGATTAATTGAATTCAGCTTAGTTTGTTTGTTGAAATACAAGTAAATCATAGGTTCATCAGGAAAAGGCTGATGAGATAATCGTTCTCAAAGGAAAAATGTGAAAAGCCACAGGCCGCAATGACGATCTACGTTCGTTCTGTGTCAGATTGGTCAACATCCGAGCAATGAATGGGTTTTACTAGCTTCTATGCAACGCCTACTTAAATGATTACATCGTTTACTTCTAGTTACATCATGCATTTATTATTGACACACTGGAAATGTTTTCCACTTTTTCTTAGGCCTATTGAAGCTTCAGCAGCTGTTTCGTATGTCAATGGATACCAATGTCGAGATAAAGGTAGTAAAACGTATAGAGAACCCAGAAGAGGCGAATGACTTCCTTCGTGATTTAGAAAAGCCAGATAGCAATTGCACGCAGGGAATGACATCTTTGATATGTGAAAGTCATCGGGAGACTCGGAAGTACGTCGTACTCGACTGTAGCGCTGACATGGCGCGCGACATTATCGTTAGCCACGTCCGGGACGTAAATATGGGCCGCCGAAATTTCCATTTCCTCCTTACCAGCTTGGTAAGTAATGAAGGCAGACGAAGTTTACGAAGTGTTTATACCACAACGTTAATTACCTTCTTCCACTTTAGACCATTTCTCAAAAATATTAGATATTAGAGTAGATATCAATTACGACATAAGGGTCGTTCGGTGATGACATATATTGGGGCTATACGTTTTTGCCAATTTCGCAATATATTTGAACCTAGACATACTCCAGTTGCCAGATTACTCGGCATTATTATCCGTTCGAATCATAGACTTTGTCTCAAGAACAAGATTGAAACAACGAACTCACCATAACTACAACACAATACCTTGTACCGAAAGTAGTTTATTTAGTACGTATACACAGATATCTAAATACACTCTAGCCTGCACAGTAAACTAACCACATATTACGTTCTGCATTAGGATAATTATTAGGCAATAATTATATTACGCGTTTCTTGCCGCTGTTCACGGAACGCAGCCGAGGTAAAGTTACGAATGGATATCTCGTAAATGTTGTCGATGATATGTATCATTCTTGAATTAAGTTCTCAACGTTTTCTGTAAGTTAGAAGTAGTTGTGTATCGATACTCTTTGTTTACGGTTTGTATTATGATTCGTAAATATCAAGCGTTTCTAATTATACGTAAGGAGCTCATTTGGTCAATATATATATATATATATATATATATATATATATATATAGAGAGAGAGAGAGAGAGAGAGAAAGAAGAGCTACTTTAAATTCGAAATAGCAGTATGTGGTTTTAAAATGAAGCAGGTATCTTTGGCCTTTATGCCAAAGGTTTATGCCTTTTAGTGTCTCTCCACCCAGCGACAGCGTTTGTTACTAAAAAATAACACGTTTCAAACAAGTGAGATAATCTCAGATCAGCTGATACCTCTGTGAAAGTAAAATTAAATGCCACCTGTTTGCTTGGAGACAATATTGTGCCCCGTAACAATCAGAGCCGACCTTCGATTATTAGTGTCCTAGTGCAGGTTACAATAGTTTAACTTTTGAAAATTATTTTATTCTCAGTTACCGAGATGAAATTTTTACGGTGAGCTATTCTCCACCGTGAGGCCCCATTCCTATTCAATTTGACCAATCTGCTTTATTCCGCTGATCTTGCGGTACATAAAATACATAGCTGACTCTCATAAAAATATTGGCACTCTAACGAAATTATATTGAATAGTCGATAATAAGGACATATTAGTAAATTAAAGCATTATTGATATCGCGATTATGTTGTACAGGTTATGGATGAGTATTTGAACAATCGTATCTTGGAACTTGGTGTGCTCAATGTGACGGGCTTCCGCGTGGTACAGCCTCATCGTGAAGAGGTCAGAGACTTCATCCGCCAATGGCAGAAACTTGACCCGATTAAATGGCCAGGCGCTGGCACCGATTATTTAAGAGTAAGTCCTCTTTTTTTCCAGCATATGTATATATATCATGACGTTGAGACCATATCGAGGACTGCCCAAGCAAGCTGTTGGTCGAAATTACTTAAACAGAATGTACATTGAAATTTTCATTTAGTGACGGACGTATTGGCATCGTCTTCTTAGCCAAGTTTTTATCGTGGTGGGAAACTACGGCAGTACGGCAAAGACTTGACACGAAAAGCTGTTTTTTGCAAAAAAAAGCAATTTTCTAAATATAAAGAATGGTTATACATATGTGAGTATCATGCTCCATATAGAGGTCGACCTTTTCGAATCGCTTAACGGGATTTTTCAAGTAAAATACGAAAGAGTTCAAGTTGGCCGGGCATCAAATGAGCAGATCAGTTCTGATCATTGCCATTGTCTGAGGTTAAGCTGGGCTCTGAGAGATCAAACAAGCGTGCATGTCTGTAAGTTGATTTTGTCGTTGGAATTATGAATCGCACCTTTCGTGATGTATCCAATTCCGTAGCCGGCATCATAACGAACAAACGTCTATTTTGTTTTGGCGCTTTGCGTTACATTTCGCTGATTCAATACCTAGATCAATCTCCACCTTAACAAGCTGCAACTACAGTAAGAGATTAGGGAAGTTCTAACAATTCAATGATAGGGCGGCGGCGGCGGGGACGGCGGCGGGGGAATTGAGACATTTACACTGTAAGCGCCAATTTCTTGTTCTCGACATTAATGATGATGCGAACTGCTTTGCTCATACTTTGTTCACTCCAGAACTTTGCGAAAAAAAATATTCTTTTTGCAGCTGAAAAAACCCAAATAAATGCTCTATGCTATATGTATACACTGGGCTACAGCTCTGGTTCAGTTTCTTCGATCAGGCCAGGTCGCTGTTATGGGATCAGGACCATATCCCAATGTCTCCGATACCCTTTTGTATTGGAGCATAAGAAAAAGCCCATACCGCATGTTGGCAATTGCTGGTTCGAGACCTAGGCTCTACTGAGTGTTTAGTTTTTATAAAGACTGTAATCAATCCCATTGTGTATTATCTTTCTTAAGAATCTCTCCGCGAAGTCGCGCTAGCCATCGTCTAGCGCGACTTCACGGAGAGCGGGCATATTTTTGCACAGTTAGCAAATGTGGCGCAGAACTGAGTATTATATGAAATCAAAAAACTCTGATTGTAGATAGTTCGATGCCATGTAACAGAAGTTTTACCTTCTTCCTATGCTAAAATTATGTCAACTTACAATCGGCAGCAAAAAATTATATTAGATATTTAGTCGTTTTGCAGAGCTTTCTTTTAGGGTAAAATAGAGACTCGTCTAGTTCATTGAAGGAAGATGACCCTCGGGAGTGTAATTATATTTTGCCCACAGTTGATTTGCTCTGTATCTCGATGGAAAGGAATCACAGTGATCCTCAACTGGCGCGGCATTAAGGTGATGACAACGAATGTTATTGTATCTGAATATATCATATGGCCGACATCACGTTCAGTATACCCTAGAAACTTTCCTGTATATGTGATCCGGACCGTGTTGCAAACCATTTTTCAAATGTTGCCAACCATATTATTGAGGTTTTCCAAGAGTTAAGCTCTATTTGTAAAACAATTCCTATTATATCCTTGGAAAAATAGATTAAATTACTAGACAAGATATAGAAAAAAAGGCTGCGACAGATACACTCAAGACGCAATATGTTCAGGGAGTATTGCGCATCTGCACTATGTTAGTATGTTCAAGTTTTAAAATGTCTCGAAAGAAAGAAAAAGAAAAACCTAATGGTAATTTTTTTTATAACTATATGACCTAATAATCCTATCACACACATTAATTCACAGGAAAGAAACTAACTTCAATTTTTATAAAGGCTAAAGCACTCATTGAGGTTTAAGGCTATATTTAATAATAACTAGTAATAATAATTTTTATTTATTCATATCTATTAGTGTTATATGACTCTTATCTAAAAACTTTGACTGGCCTCTTGGTTGAAACTGAATGTATCTTGTGCATATAGATATAAATATTTTTTAGTCAAATCAGAAGTTACTATGTCAAGATAAAACTTGCTTTATATTAAATTTTCTATACTCTACATTTAGTAGTTTTGTGTTATTGAGGACGTTAGCCCTTCTGTTTCGTTGCTCGGACTATTGCCTTTGTTTTTCCGTCCTCGGGACTACCGTAGCTGAGCAGTTGTCAAAATAACCGTGCTTAAATGCTGGTTTTTACTTTATTTATGCGTGTTAATCTTAGTCGTAGAATCCTTGTCAACATCAGAACCGGTGTTCAAATCATTCCTATAACAGTTTAGTCTTATTATTTATCTCTATATGTTGATACAATGGGCATCTGTTAACCATTTTTTAGTTTTTTTTCTCGCTGACGCTCAGGCTGATGTGGCTCTCTTACACGACACTGCCCTCGTAATTCTTGATGCGTTCTCGAGATTGCTCAAGAACAAACCCGACATCTTTCGTAATAACACGAGACGCGGAGAAATCTACAATCGAGGGCAGCGAGGGGTTGACTGCCAGGGTAACCCCACAGTGCCCTGGGAACACGGAGAAGTCATCGTCGACTATTTACGATCGGTAAGTTACTGCTGAGCCAAGAGTTCAGTGATTAGTCGATCCCCGCTAGTCACTTTCCACCTACCCTAAGCATCATTAGTTTTTACGCTGAATTATGGACACCACTGTATAAAAACGGCAGCTAAAACTAGAGTCCTACGACCTTGCCAAATACTTACTTTCAGAATCAGAGAATATTCTGCTAACAAGTTCTTTTTGTCACTTGCAAAACGGTTTTTTGCGCACTTATTAAACACCATATTGATGGTCAGTAATTACGCTTTATGTACGCTTACACAAACTCCTAAAGGTGTATGGTTTGTTACCGCAATTTTTTTTGTCGTTGCTTTTCCTCTGATGACCACTCTGTGCTCTGTTGCCCACAATCGATCGCAACGTATAAATATATTGTGTAGAATATGATGCAGCATGCTTCGTACTCTTCGACTTAGAGTAGGCCAACAATGATAGTGAATAGCAGTCAGTGCAGAAGCGCGGCCTGAGCTGCAATGCTGATGACGCTACCATCTCCATATACCCTGGGGCACCTCCGTTGAACGGGTTGCGGAGCCAAGAGCGGCATCGGTGACGGCGACGACAACTATCGAACAAAAATTTTACCAAAAAGCTTTTTCTAATACCGCTGAACTGTTCCATCTCACTAGTCCGTAAGCCAGTCCCCTTACATTCTTTGAGAAACAGCGCTCCAATAGCAAAGCATAGCTCCACGGTACGGAACCAAAAAGACGGTCACAGTGTCGAAAAAAGCGAGCCGCTTTTCGAAGCAAGGGTGTCGTAGCAGTGGGCTCTGTAGTACCCTTGTTAGCTGTACAGCTTCGCCGGTTGCCAAAGCGGCTCGAACACGTGTGGAGGGAGGAGGGATGGAGGCTACCGTATTCTATTGCCAGATGTGGCTAGCCAATGGCTGAAGGGCCTATTGGTTGCCGGGGAACATCGCCTTAGACGACGATCGCGTCTCTGCGAGTATGTGAAGCCAAGAAAGGGTGAGCGAGAAAATAGAGCGCATAAGGAAAGAAAACGTCTTCGGCGAAGCTCTCTGTGGTTCTGGATAGCTTTGAAAAAGATCTAGTGTCGTATGTTGTTTTTGCTCCACTATGTTCTGCGCCGGAGTCTTATTGCTTTGAAAGCAAGAGGAAGAGAAAGGAGAATTTTTGTGATTCAGAGACTCTTTTCTCCCACGAAGCAATATAAGGTACGCACGACGTTTTCTGTAGAAAAAAACGAAACTAAGAGAACTTAGGCCTTTTAGACTTTCCGGAGAACAATACTTTGCTTTTGAGGGCAGTAGTTGGTATAGGAGTTCCCAACCCTGCCTGACGAATGGAAACGCGTATTAAAGTAGATAAATCGCAAGTGAGAGCAAAATACTTTACTGTGGGTGAAAAGGAAGTATCAGTCATCCTGTCCAGGCGATGGCCGGGATTCGGGAATCAGTGGTTATAACTTGGTCACGCAAAGACGATGGCAAATTGGTTGGCAGTCGGCCTGTTTCCTAAAACAGGAATGGTTATTCCTTAAAAGGCACAAAGAGGCAAGCAGTAGACAGACAGACGTCTGATTTTCTTGATCCCGTAGAGGACAGCAGACACGCTACAACGCAGAGCTTAATCACATTCTTAAAGGGCCTGGGGAAGGGCTCTCTAGCGACACTATACAGCACGACGACGAACTAACATAGCTCAGCTGACAGGCCGTCTTAAGGCATTCTTTTGTTTTTTTCTTGTACGTGTTGACCACATACAAGAGATCAATGCGCAAGACAGAATCAAGAGCATCGCTTACATTAGCGCCAATGATACTGGGGGGGGGGGGAGAAGAAGCACAGGTATACAAGCAGAATCGGAAAGATCCGCGATGGTGTCCCGATGATAGTCCGAGTAATTGATGGTGGTCGTTGCTAATAAGATATTGTCGACGAACTAGCAAGTGACAATACCAGCAGTACAAAATGATTGAAACTACTTTAGTTTTTTCGTGACCGTTAGCTCCTAACTTCTCCCTGGTATCTTCAGGTCTGTCCGCACCATTTTATCGCGCAAAATAACCTATCACGGCGTCTGACATTGCAGCTGTCTCGCCAAGCCCTTCGGTCTTGTGTAGCTCAGGTGTATAAGCTTGCTTCTGTCTCTGCCGATTGTCTAGCTGGTCCTCCACTGCTTGCTTCCCGTCCTTAGCCTAGCCACCCGCAAAGCTCTTAAGCTTAAGGCTTTTGACGGAGCGCTCCTTGAAGGGCCTATTTCTACAGCTACCACAGCGACTGCTACTGCCGTCTGCCCTGTCAGCATCCATCACCGTCGTAACTGGAAACTTGTTGTTTAAGCGACGAAAATTAAGGAAGCAGATACGGCTGGCAAACCTTAGCAAGCGAACAAGCTCCTCTCTTCTGTGAAATCGCGAACATCAGACGACGGACGGGGTGGGAACGAAAGATATCGACAACTCGAAACGCACAAGCAAGTTAACTTCGCTAAGAAAACCTACGGGCTTCCGTCGATATGGGGGTGGGAATCTTCCTACTAAGTTAACCTCAAGTTCGAGCCCTGCAGTCGAGTACTTCGTTAAACAAAGGGCTCATGGCTGTTCAAGCCCCTTTAAGTGCGACTCGAGAGCAGGCCAACTGTAAGCTGCCACCGTGAAACTGTGTCTCTCATCTCTGTTTTTGACACTCATCAATTCAGAGTCGAAATGAAAACAAACGAGAAGAGACCCAGCAGATTATTCATATTTCGTTTGCTACAAATTTATCCACTCGTGATGAAAGCTAAATTTCCAGTAGAGTTATTTAACGGATCAGTTAGAACGCATGTACGAGGCAAAAATTTATACAATCGACAATTTATATTCAAGACGATGCTGAAAATGGACGCCTTAAGCTGTCCTAAGTTTTGATGCCCTTTGAAAAATTTCAGACGAATATTGTAGGTTTAACGGGAAACATCTCATTTGACGATCGAGGTTACCGTCAAAATTTTTCGATCGACGTCGTTGAGATGACTACTAATAGTGAAATGGTCAAGGTGGCTGAATGGAGCGACCATCAGGGCCTAAAACTGTTCCCGCCAAAGTACAAGCGCGTCCGATTGGATAACGAATTCGAGAACAAGACGTACATTGTCACTAGCATCCTGGTAAGTGTTATTATAACGAAGAGAACTACGAGTCTTGAATCTCCCGGTGCACCCCTTATCTTTTAACTGTTTCTATCGGAAACCCTCATTGAAATAAACAGTAAACCAAAAAATCTTTTTTATTATTGCTACATTAGAACTGTACCAAAATTTGCACTAGTAGGATATTTTGAAACGCCACACCTCTGTTGAGAGGTCAATCATGTCCCGTCGTAGACATCCTTCGCGTTTGTTTTAGAGCGGGAGTATACAATGTGGATCAGCGGGATACGCGTGTGGCATGATATGCCTCTATTTATGAACCTATGATTAATACAATTTCAGGAAGAGCCATATTTGATGGAGAAGCGATCAGAAAACGGGAAGGAGTTAGTCGGCAACGAGCGGTACGAAGGGTACTGCAAAGATTTGGCGGATCTCGTTACAGAACACATGCGGATTGGCTATATTCTCAAGCTGGTCAACGACAGCAAGTATGGTGGCCAGGACAAGAATGCACCTTCCGGCTGGAACGGCATGGTCGGGGAGCTAATTAGAAAGGTAACCAAATGCTGTGAGCTGTGCTGTCATCGCCAGCAGTTCTTTTGCCTGCAGGTACGGTAAACATCGATAATCAGGCCGGCGATACAAATAACTGGGCTGTGCGATAGTGTAGTTCCGCGGTCGCTTGTTAGCTTTAACTGCTTTTCGTTGTCGTAAGTATGACACAGCCTATCCGCGTTTAGGTGACTTTTTCTCTCAGTGCCACAACGGCACTGCGTGCCCCGTAGAGCAATTGCTGCTCAACAGGTTTTCGTTTGTTCGTTCGGACTGTTTTTTGCAGGAGGCTCATCTAGCAATAGCTCCGCTGACGATCACATCTGCACGTGAGCGAGTGATTGACTTCACGAAGCCATTCATGTCCCTAGGCATCAGCATCATGATTAAGAAACCGATGAAAAAGAAGCCGGGCGTGTTCTCGTTCATGAACCCGCTCTCGCAAGAGATTTGGATGTGCATCATTTTTGCCTATGTCGGCGTATCGGTCGTCCTGTTTCTCGTGTCGCGTTTCTCGCCGCATGAGTGGCGTTATGAAGAGACATTTGTCGGACCATCGGTGTCTAACGATTTCTCGCTGTACAACAGTCTTTGGTTCTCTTTAGGGGCCTTCATGCAACAGGGCTGTGATATCTGCCCGAGGTAATTCCCCGAAAGCTATTACGTCCGTTAGGATAAAGAAAAAAAAAGACAGGGGAGAGGAAAAAAACTAAAGAGCACGATAGCGGTCCATAAAGGCAAAAAAGTCCAAACACAAAACTTACCTCTTAAAGTCTGTCTTCATTACAAAATTATTAAGTACGATCCTGTTACCGTTATTGTTCACCGTATTACACAATTTCTGGCGATCGTGCCCTTCTCAGTTTCTTATTTTTGCCGCAAATATGTTATGGATGACAACAAAAGGAGCGAGAGGAACACTAACTTTGACCCCATTGAAATGTCGGTTCACTTACATTTTTCCTTATTTTTTGTGGTTTCGGTCGTGGAGTGATCTGACTCATAGCCTCTCAGTTTTAAGTCTCCCACACTAAAGACATGATATGTTTAAGCATGCAAAGAAAAATATTCTTTTTTCAATTTGCAAGTCAATGAACCTTATAAATGGTAAAAGAGTGGCATTGAAATACCATTTAGTGGGTAATGTCACTATTTTCTCGTTGCGGGCGTTTAATCCATCGCGTCGTCCCAGCTAGTACGAAATTAGACACAAAAGGGCTTTCTATTTCAGTCAGCCCCAAATCAACGGCCCACCACGGACCCCACAAGAGGGCTGTCCACAGTAATAAACAACCCCATTTTACCTCTTCGGTCTCTCGATCGTTCTTATCTTAAAATACAACATGACAATGGAGCTCAGATCGTGTGACGGTTGCAGCCGAAGTAACAGAAAACATGGAAATGCCATTAATACAACAGGTAGCATTACGCACACGTCAGCGTTTCAGCTGGAATTTAATAGCCAGCGCCGATCGGTGTTTTGAACTTCGATAGAAAATGCCACGCGTTTACTATCCTTTACTGTTATCTACTAGTGTGCCTAACGCCCTTCACTCGAATGATGATCTTTTAGGCCATCGCCTTTTACTGCCGCCTAGCTTTCTTTGCGAAATTTGACCTGTGTACGCGTGGAAGGAAGGGTAACGCGATTTATTAGAATCGTAGACGGAGTTGCGCGGGCTAAATGAATGGCGAAGTCCGGCTTTGTCACTTCGATTAAAAATTAAATACCTGTTATCGCTGCCTACACTGCTGGACCTTATCGCTTGGCTGCACGATTGGCGTCCGCTAAATCTACTTGTTGCTAGCAATTTCGCCAGGCGTCTTTCTGTTAAAACGTATTTGATACAGCAAAATTACTGGCGACATTTTTCGATATGGCTGCATGGTGGTAACTATATAATCTCTCTTAGAACTGCCTCTATTATTTCTCACTCTATTCGTGCCCACTTACTTTGCAGCTAATACTCTCATCTTTTTCAAGCGGTCTAACAAGACGAAATCAAACTACGTTATGACGTTACAATCTATCTGGTAGTTTTTATTTCTTTATGTCGAACAGACCTTCTGAACCAGTGTGGGGAGATTTTCGCTAGGCGTTATCGTCCTGTTTCAACTGACCCATTTTTTTAATTTTCAATTTTAATAGTGCATTCATCGCTCTCATGGGCCAGTCGGAACTACTCAGAAAGCCAGCTGCTATAAACTCTAGCTCTAAGCTACCCTTGCGCCTTGTGAAAGCACACATTAAATCACCCAATTTCTAGAGTTTACGGTTGCAAGATGCAAGAGAATAACCTTAACAAACATTAGAATATATCCGTCGGGTTTATATTTGCCAAATGTTGATACATTCGTTAGTTGTTAATTTCGTGTCAATGTTTTTTCTGTGTGTTTGTGCATCTTTGAAGACCAATTCGGCATTTTTCAGATTTGTTTACGATCATTCCAGTCCAATCCAATTTATCATCGAAATAAGGTCGTCCAACTCCAAGCTGCTGCTAACTAGTATGTTCTGGTTTAATCGGCAACAAAAACAGGCTTAATTTTTGTCAAATATCAATCTCTTTTGAAGACGTTCGTTGTTCTCGTCGCTGGTTCTAATATCAGATTCATTATGACATAATATATGATCGCTGCTGCGTGCTAGACGAGTTGTGATTGTAGAGGAGATGGGGCGAAATTAGGCCTACAGTAAAATTAGACATAAGATTATAATCAACAAAACCAAGCACGTTAAGAATTCGAAATAACAGCTCTATTAGCAGTAAGCTTATTTAAACTTACAACTGCAGAGCCAATCTTTTAGTCATAGACTTTAGTTATAGACAGATTCCATTCTAAGCTTGCTTTTGTCCCCTGCTCCCTCAAGTAGTAAAAAAAAAGGTCCTTTGATTTATTCATTTCGTTCTCGTATTTTCTAGCCGTACATAGTCGATTCACAGTTGTATCTGGGTTCGATTTATTTCTGGGTCATTGTTTTCTGCAGTCTTTTGGTTTCTTTTGTGTCGCAGGGGTGGCACACCATTAAACTTTGTTTCCCTTTCTATTTTACTGACATTGCTCGATGTCGGCTGTTCTCGCTGTCGTTCTTTACAAAAACAACGCGACTCTGTGAAAGTTGATCATTTTATGAAATGTCTAAAATCTATTGTACCATTCAATGCTGTGGAAATCGCCCCACACTGTTTCTCTGGCGGGACTCACACACCCGTTACTTGAGGGTTACTAAATTGTTACCAAAGCTGTTTGCCCCGAGACCTAATCTGTGGATGCTCACCAACTTTCCCTATTGCTAATACCTTTTTGTCTACCCACACTGGTACAATAATACCTTCGGCACCCACCTGTTGTAGTTCAGCATAACTGCGCGATAGCGTCAAATGTCCAGTTACGTCGTAATATTAGTCATTGCCACTGAACAATAACCTAAAAATTCTCTAACCTATCGTCTTTTACTTGTTTCCATCATCAACGCATAAACCGCACACAATACAAGCAAATCAGACTAGTCTTCCGTTAAAACAAGGAGAAAAATAATGTTATTAAAAATGACTCCAACCCAATAACACCACTATTGAATGATTTTGTCACATACAATTGAAACACGACTAAACGTTCCCCCAGCGTCAGCCCGGCGTACAGTTCTGTATGTTGCGATCCTATCGGTAGCATACTGTTAACATAAACGTCCGCTGTTCAGTGTTTACGCAACTGCGTAGGCAGAGCACAGGTAAAGAGCCGCTAACAGAATAATTGCACCTAACTCGCAAGTAAACTCGGTTTTAGTCCCCGTTGTTATTATCCTTATGCCTGTATGATCACGAATGCTGTTATATGTGTGCCTGTTATGTGCCTTTGCCTTGGAAATGTACATATTTGGGGGTTGTTCCAGATCGGTGGCGGGCCGAATCGTGGGAGGGGTGTGGTGGTTCTTCACGTTGATCATCATCTCATCATACACTGCCAATCTGGCCGCATTCCTCACAGTGGAACGTATGGTCACGCCCATCAATTCGGCAGACGACCTCGCTAAGCAGACGGAGGTCGAGTATGGAACCCTCGAATCATCTTCCACTCAGGATTTCTTCAGGGTGAGCAGGGTGCACAGAGTATATTACCAGTGGGCCCTTGTTATTCGAGCTGTGTCAGCTCGAAGAAGTGGTTAAGGTAGTCTGTACAGACAGTTAAAGTTACTTATTTTTGATAAGACCTGCTGGCCTGAGAAATGCATAAATTTATTTCCGGAATTGACCAATATAATGGGTAGTATTTGTTGTAAGAGTTTGACGGAACAAGAAAAGTATTTATTTGCAATTTTAATTCTCGATTTATTGTTTTTTTTAAATATGAATAAAAAGAACGTGTTCATTAGTTCTGATGGCCATTTATTCGTTCGGGTAGGCTACCCGCAAAGGATCCCGATAGAGAAAAGTCTAACGGAATAAGCTTAACACTTCACAAGAGAGGATATTCTAATGAATCGCGAATGACTTTTTTTTTTATCTTTTAGTGGTTAGAGAGCCAAACAGGTTAGATGGCATTTTATATTTCTCAGCTGATTTTTTCCGAAATTTTCACGGTTCACCAAAATCGTTTAGCGTTGGGCTAATGGACCTAGTTTACTATACGTTTATAGCTAATATAAAAAGTAAGCCAAACTATTGTAGATTAAGACTTCTAACACAAAAATTACCAATCCTATAGACCATAATTTTCCCTTTTAAATGTACCTCTATAAAACTAATCTAGCAGTTTGCAGCATTTTAGCAGTACATTTTATAGATGATGTTAGTGATGGTCAGTTTGTTATCAAGTGCTTCCTTCCTTAAGTACACCTCAATACTGGCACCAGCGTAGCGCTTCTCGGTATCCGAGAGCCGCTCGGCTCTCTATTTGGTTTGGCGCTCTCTCTTAAATTCCAGTGGCTTCAGTATCGCGTTTTTACCTTTATAGCAATCCCTTTCATTTCGTCTTTTTTACGGGCCACCTGTGCCGTTTGGCCGGACAGCTCCGCGCAGTCGTTGCTCGCTTTTCGTCACCGTGGAAAGCTCAGAAGAGAGTGAATTAAGACAGCAACAGTAACCTCAAAAGAAAGAAATCGTTGAAGAAACGGGCACAATGTTTACCTTGGCGGAGAGATGAACAAGGCGGCGTAAGCAGTGAACGGCAAAACTATCCAAATCTGTTTCGAGAATCACTGGAACACGACGTTTGGCCACTCGCCTGCCCGAACGAGTTCCTCCATCTGGCGGCAGCAGAGCAACGGGCGGACAAAATGAAACAGTAGTAGCCTACTTCGTTGTTTACTGTCTTTTCTTCACTGGCTGGTTTCAATCTCCCTCCTCTATCTTCCATTTTCCCTCGATGCCATTGGGATTCCTGTTTGCTTTCCTGTTCTACCCTTTGCTGCGTAGTATTCTGGCCTTTCCATGTACCCCCTCTCCGGTTATCGTGAATCACTTCTATCTTCATCCCTGCAATGGCAGCAGCCATGCTGTCATTCCTGTCGTGGTTCCGCTTCCAACTTATCGCGCCCGCCATCTCCTCTCACTGCTTTGGAATCTGTTCTCAACCCCGGAGCCACTGTCGAATTGGGATTACCCCGCCGATTCCTTCCATCCTTCCCTACCTACCCCTCCCCCCCCCCGCCCTTTCTTTACATGTATATCTACAGCCTCCTCCTCCTCCTCCTGTTGTTGTTTGCCATCGCCGTCTTCTTTGTCCTTTTTGTTTTTCTGATCTGCCTTTTTTATTGCTAGGTCGTTGATACAGACAGCAGTAGACTCAATGACAGCAGCGGTGAAGTTGTCCTGGTCTCTTCGACCTGTTTCGTCTTTCGTTTATGTTCTCTCCATCATTACTATCTACTGTTGCTGTTGTTGTTATTATTATCGCCGTTGACTCCGCCGCCTCTTCACCGTGTGGTCGCTCCCTGTTTTAGAGTCGGTTTGTCTTTGCGTGGACGTTTTGGACGTTTGCTTTTGCGGATGTATATGTTTATACGATGCGCCTATACGATGTCTTTGGCTGCTGAGTCACTGGGATTGTCATTTATGGATCTACTAGCAGCTTGTGGCCCCACGAAGTCTAGCGAGTCGACCTGGCGACAATGATGAAAAGAACCGATCACCAAGTCCACTCACAGGGGTTCAACACAGGGATCAACGACCAGGGGGAAACAATGGGGGTACCGACAGGCTGACACTAATAGAGACTGAGCTAGTCTATGAGAACATATGTGTATCCGCATACCAGCGTCTGTGGTAAGGGACTCATAAAAAGAGGGCGGGTTGTATGGCAAAAAAAAGTGGGATTGATTCGGGCAAGGCAGTGTGGGGTCTGGGTACCCAGACCAAGGTAAATTGATAGATGAAGCTGGTGAGATGTGTGGGTCAGCTGGTCGCCCTATCTTGTACGCAGTTACTTCCATATCTCAGTATCTCTACTTTGCTTCTACGCTTTCTGCTGCTCCTACTAGTACCACTGTTACTGATGCCCTGAGAGAGCGACCCGTTCCTGTATGAGAACGACGATGCGGCGGCGGTGGCACTAGCGGCCAACGATGGCGGTAGCAATACTGCTCCTCCGCAAAGCACAGCAGATCCATTACCTGTTCACGTTAGTTGAGGCTTAATACGACTAGTTTCGACGTCTCTCCGCCTGTGCTCTCATTGCAGCCATTTGCTTCCCACGCCTTCTGTCTGGTTTCCAACTCCCTTCCACTCTCTGTGTCCGGCTCCTGCGTTCTCTCTACGTTAGCACCACTGGCTTGCCGTTACACACATTCTCTTTAAATGTGCGACCTGAACGCTCGGTTCCCAGTTAAGCATTTGAACGGAAGTCCGATTTATAAAGGGCCGGTGAACAGCAGAGGTAAAGCGGCTAGAGAAAACTGAAATGAAAATTTATAAAAACGAAGATATGGCTCTACTACAGCTGCTCGTCCATCTAGCAGTGCTGGTGGCTAGCATGAGTTAAAAAAAAAAAGGAAAAGAGATAATGAGGGTTTAGGGATCCGACCAAATCGGAAAGTCTGTGGTCCACTTTCAGCTATTTGAGAAAATCAATGTCAGAATATCGTGTCAGTCCCTATGTTCCATCTCATAGTTTTGTCTCAACAATAATTATGATAAACTGTAAGACGATTTGCTCCCACTTTATCATTCACTGTTCAAGACTGAAAGGCATAGATTTGTTTCATCCATGTGTACCTGCCGCAGGCGACAAATACATACGCCATATCTTCGGATATAATTGATCCCGATGGGGTTCCATTTGGTCCCTGTAAGAATTTGTTTACAAATAGAAATTAGGCACAGAAAATATTTTCATTTATTACCTATGTGTGCTCGCATGTGTTTCTATTTTGTAGAAATCAAAGATCAACGTATTCGCCCGCATGTGGGAATTCATGTCTGCCCGGAAGCACGTCTTCACACAAACTTACGAAGAGGGGATCAATCGAGTCCGCCAATCAAAGGGCAAATACGCCTTTCTTATGGAGTCCACAAAGAACGACTACATCAATGAACGCCAACCTTGCGATACCATGAAAGTAGGCCGAAATCTCGACGCAAAAGGATACGGAGTTGCCACCCCACTCGGATCCACGCTCAGGTTAGCGTCAGCATCATGACGTTATTTCAACAGTGGAAAATTGTGAAAGACCTCTAGTCACATGGTGGCTTATAGCTTTTATTTATAGAGTTTGAGATTGATTCACCTGCTAAATTTCTGCTAACAATTAGCATAAGGACAAAGACAAGTAGGTGGTAACAGTGTGTCTTCGTCACTTTCATTTGTGTACGTGGAAATTTTTCCGTACGAAAATGTATATTGGAATTAGGCATCAGCAAACTTTGTTTGATGTCTCTATTGGGGTAACGTTGTCAACTGATTTTGTTGACGGGCCAATCGGTTCTAAACGAGAGTAGTTCATAACAACGAGAAAAGTAAATCACAAGGTTAGCCGCAAAGTGATTTCAAATGTAGACAAATGATTTATGCCTGTCTGAGTGCGGAACCAGCTTACAAAATAAACTTTTTCTAAATTTATAAATTACGACAGGTAGCTTCGGGTTAACGACTGGTAGATATTGTACAATGTCGGTCTTTGAGGAATGCGATGGCTTCATGCTGAAACCTTTAGGTACTTCTGTTGCGTACGGAAAGTGAAGCAACTTATTCATTACTTACAAAACAATTTTAATATATTGGCTGCAACGAATTGGTGTAAATAAAAGTAGACAATTTTCCTCAGAGATATACGTGAACAAACGCTAAACCAAACGTATACTGTTGGTTTTATTCGTGCATTCATAAAACATATAAAAAATGATTTATTATTTTATTATTAATTTTTCTAAGCATAATTTCGACCATTCGTAATAAACACCACTAATCATTCAAGTGAACTAAGTATTTCAAGGTCGACTTGGAGGTCATTAAGGTGCCTACGTCATTTAGGAAGCAATAGAGATTTGAAAGTAATGTTTCATTGTATGGGTGTGCATTATCTAACGTGTCAAGCTTCCTTACATCACCACCGGCTGCGCTTTACCAGTTGCCCTCCCCAGTCTAGAAAACACGCCGGAAGGGTAAGCACATCATTTTGGGGGCGATACGAATTTTTCTGTGATACTACATTCCAAATGATGTTGCGTCTAACTATTCATGTTACAGGGACCGTCTGAATCTGGCTGTACTACAGATGAAGGAAAATGGAGACCTGGCGAGGCTTGAGAATAAGTGGTGGTATGACCGCAGTGAATGCCGGACTACGGATAGCAAGGTTTGTTTGAATGAATACGTGTTCAACGAATGGTCGACCACTAAATATCAACGTACTATAGCGTAAATGATAACCCATGAGACGGTTTTTGTAAACAGCCGATTTTAGTTGCGGCTCAAAGAGTCGAACCGAAAAAATAATGATTCAATATACCTTAGTGAAGTAGTAAGCGCACGAACTAATTATTTCGCTTTGAATCTGCCTATCTTTGTCAACTAAAAGCAACTAATCTGAAGCGTTAGCTCCATCAAGGATAATGTAGTACATTCTACTTACTATACGACAGGTAAATTGTTCATAAAAAATGAACAAGTTATTATTCTAACTATAATCAGAAATCACCTAATACTTTTAGCAAAGTATGTATTGAAGATTTATGTCCAGCATTAAGCTAGTATACAAGTCACGCTTTATGAACGATCCCAAAGGCTCAATTTGACCGCGATTCGAGAACCTCCGCTACTCAAATATTAATCACCTGTGGCCATTGACGACAACATATAAACAAAAAAAAAGGTGGCTTAGCAGGACTTATATACAGAACCGATAAGCCAGCAGATTCATTTTGTATGAACGATCTAGATAATGTGTCATCTCTATAAGCAGGCATTCGAGTACTATTAGATGTGTAAAATAAACAATCAAAACTATCATTGTCTATTTAATTGTGCATACAAACATACCCATGCTAACGCAACGACATGTGGCCCTTTCTAGATTACCTCCAGCTTATGGAGGCGAAGCTTTCTTTGGAAGCTTATGGAGTTTCTTTTTGCACCTGAATTTATAGGGAAATATTTTATCGAACATTTTCATTTAGGAAGGTGTAGCTTCAACGGCCAGTTGCTGTTCGAGTTAATATTTGGACCATTTGTTATATAAATGAACATGGGTCAAGACCAAGTACGATAACATCTCTTGCTGTTGGGTCAGCGACAAGCACGACGCAAAGGCGGCGGGTCCGTTCTTTCGGTCTGCCGATGCTACGGACCATGGCCGGGGCGGGGATATAATGCTTCTCTTTTGAGGATACGTCTACACGATGAACCGTAACCGCCGCAACAAGTCGAATAAAATCATTTTCTCGTGACGCTTGGCCCACGCGCCCTACAAAGCCTTATTATGAGCACGTAGAATACCCACATATGTATCCTTCTGAATGAGTAGAGTATGGTAGCATCGAATAAGATATTGCAGACAAGACCGAACTTACTGCCCCGAGCTAAGGCTTAAAAACGTTTGTATTCACTTTTTTACGTGCTTCTATCGTCTAGATCCTAAAAAATCCATTCGAGCCGGTATTTTTTCTGACCTTGCTCTATCTAGCATGGGTGTACAGAGCGGTCCCTCGTTTCTGCAGCGGTTCCTGGGCGGTCGAATCATTTGCGCTGTGAGCGATCAAAGATTTTTTAAACGTTCCGAAATTTTAACTCGGCTGTTTAAGCTGACAGAAAACAGTGTCACCATTACGATAAGCCTAAAAGCCATTTGGGCTTCGCCGCATAACTCGTGCGGGAGCTGCTCCAACACGAACAGCTATGTGATATAAAACCAAACGATTGCCTCCCTTATTCTGATTAACTGACTATTTTATGTGCAATTAAAATTTTGAGAAGGTTGTCAGGTAGTGCATTAAAGACTTTTTACAATTTGTTATCAATTCTTCTTAAACCAAACGACACAAGTTCTCTGGAAACAATGAAAATGATTGCCGCCTCGATCGCAAACGTTCAGTGATTTAAACAATGGACAATTAGACGCAACGTCCCCATTATGGCACCGTGGCAGCGTGTTTGCCTAGTAAATTTAAGAGCACATAGGTGAGCTTCAGAATTGAAACGAAGCATAGACACAGTTCGTTCCGCACTTCAAGCCAGTGCCTGAAACAATATTTAACGGTAGAACTGGATGTTAAATTCGGGACCTTTGTGTATGACACTGCTAGCAGTGTTAAAGCATTATCGGTACTGATGCGGGCTTCTCCTGTAATCTTTTACCCCATCTGTGGTTAAAGGAGTCAGCCCAGAATGAGCTGACCCTGAGCAACGTGGCCGGTTGCTTCTATATCCTGATCGGCGGACTCGTCCTTGCGATGATCGTCGCCCTAGTGGAGTTCTGCTACAAGGCACGCATGGAAGCCGCCCGTTCTAAGGTGAGAAGAAAATCGCAGTCAATCGATAGCTTTGATTCATCGATGACACTAGTAGTTCGTTCCCCAATCTCTTACCGTATTTTTTTGTTTGAATTTATTCGCAATGAAAAGTAACAACCTCTATTTGATTTGTTTGTATAGAGTTGTTCGTTCGAAATCGAAGATAGATTTGAACGCACTTAATGATATCTTAGCTTTCGTACAAAAAAGGCTAAGTAGATATAAGTCTGCCAGATCTGAAAAAACACTTGTGCTGGCCTCGATTCCTATAAGTTAGCCAACAGACCGGATCAACTGCCTATTTGGCGCATTTTGTTATTATACAGATGACGTGAGATACATTAAAGGCTCATCATAGACTTTAGTCAGAACATATTGATAAATTTCAATCATAAATTCTATCTCAATACCTTTGATCCTGATTGGCGACCGTTAAACTGTTTTCTCTGAGCTGAGATTAAATTTTTTGATTAACTCGTTCGAATTAGCCCATGCGGAATAACAGTTGCGCTATCTCCAGGCTACTAACGAATCGATCAATTAGACCGGTAGGAATGTATATGGTATGGGTGGATGTGTATATGCGTGATTGTGCCGTTGTTACGCCGACAATTCTCGTAGAACCAGGGACTCGTCGTACCTTAATCATCCACAACGCAAATTAAATATTTTACGGCGTCTTGATACGGTAAACATTTGTATTTGCACCGGAAATACATGCTAGAATAGGACTCTTCGACCCAAGGAAAATTTCCCGTTCTCCTAAGTGGTTTTTAGTCGTTTATTCTGTAAGCAGACAACTCTAACATTCTTGTTTGCTGGATCATTACACCGCATCTCGTTCAGGACTATATTCTGAGCCTATTTTTGTGTGAGCATAATGGGTCGTTGCAAAACGGTAATTGGCAGTATATCACCGTTTGGGAGATCTGATAGCTATCCCCTCACACAAATTCGCCTATTTAGCCACTGTAGATATACATATATAAAAGTGTTCCCCATATTAGGATGGTGTATATAAGAACTTTATTGATATAATCAATAATTTGATTAATGTTGTACTTTGAGTCGAATTCAATTAGTTGTATGTCTGTCTGCTATTGTAGCATTTTTATCATGCAATTAACCCTTCCTATATTCTAACTATGCACGTACACAACGTACATTTTCACGTTTTACGTGTTACTTAGTCGATTTTTATGGTTGGTTGTCGGTGTATTAGTACAAAAAAGCCATATTAGTATTTTGTTTCCGATATTAAATCCACCCTCTGCTTGACCCGAAACGAAGGCAGTGACATGTCGTTACCACGAGAACCTGGGGTCCGGCACAACTTTATAATGCAAAGGTACAAACCACTACGACTAATCTCTACGGACATTTCTAAATTGGACAAAGGGCACCAGAAAGGACGAAACCGGAGCTAAGAAATCTAACGAAGCTCACTCTTTCTATTTGCTCTATGCTAATGATAATAATAATTGAGACAGCTTCTCTATTGTACTATGTGAATGCGTGCATTTTAGATGACGATGTACGAGGCAATGCGGGCGAAGGTGCGCATGTCGATCACGGGCACGCAGAACGACCGCCCCCTTATCGGAGGAAGGGTACGCGAGGGATCCTATTAAAACATCGAAAACATACTTAACTCTAATGGAACAACATTTTTTTTCATCTAACCGATACAAAGAGTTATAATGACAGTATAATAGCGCTAAAACAAATGATCATTAAAAATGACAGACTGTAAAAAACTGACTCGCAATATCTACAATACGAAACATCTAGCATTATAATATGTCTTAACAACATACAACAGTTCATCGATACATGAAAAGGTAATTTTATTACATGCACCGATAATATCTATACAGTAAATGATTTAACGAAGCAAGCATTAGAAAACAGACAAAAAATAATATCGGTGAAAAATGCCCGCGATAGTAATTTTCATTCTCCAATTAATAAAGTATAGACAATAAAATAAATAAATAAAAACCAATCAAGCTATCCAAAACCCCGGCAAAACATTGCGGCCTTTCTGCTCTATATACCAACCACGTATGCTATTTTATTGCTGCACTTTTCTTTCTGCTGACCAGGAAAGAATTCCTTCTTTTAGATGCCCACCAACGTACTATATATATATATATATATATAGTTATGTGTTTATAACGTATACATATGTCATGACACATATAACTAACCAAAGTCCATATAGTTAGATAATGATTATTATGTTTAATCACATAATTATCATAATATTAGTACGAGCTCGTGGAATACAATCGTGACCAAAGGTATAGAGATGACGGGTTGTGGGCAGTATCATTTTTGCCTCTTTCGCATCTAGCCCACAAAATGCAAGCCGAATAAACTATGAAACGATAGAAATGATTAGAGGTCTACTATAGTCTATTATAATGATTAGACAAGCATGCGATGCACACCAGTTGCTCCCAGTTTAACAAACAGTCACAGCTCCCTCTATTGTTCTATTTTTGCCATGCGATGGCAATGCTCGGTATCCACCATAGCGACAACCACGTCACAGGCACAGGACGGATCTAAAGATGTGCTCCTCATAAACTGGAAAACATCTTCGCTCACCGCAACGCACCAATACTTCGATCCTCTTACACACATATGTCGACATCTTCCAAATGCATTTCTAAAATTAACACGAATCAGTGTTTAGGTTATCGTCCATCAATATGCCTAACGTTCAAGCTAAATGCGTCATACAACTCGATACTATCATCAGTTCAGTTGGTACAACGATAAGCGCCGAGACACTTTGATTTACGTCTGCTATCGTTGCTACTGTTGTCTGCTTCATTCGTATTGTTCCGCTCGACTGCCGAACATCTCAATTATTAACTAATGACACAAGCGCCACCAATAACGTCAACAACAACAGTGACACAACAGCAGCAGCAGCAGCAGCAGCGACAGCAGCGACAGCTGAAGTCAACAATAACGACGATACGATCGTTGCCTTATGTTACCGTGCTTCTATCGGGAACCACTGGAATCATCTGCTGCGATCAAACGGTGCAGTGCAATCTAACGTAATAATGTGGAAGCTTGCCATTGTTTTTTCCATTAGCGCTACTGACGTATCTTGTTGCCAGTATCGTAGTTTTTCACCGTATCGCACAAGCGAAATCACTCGTTTACGTTGTGTGTCCACCGTATCTGTATGTGCTTCAAGAAATGTGCGAGTCACACCAACTATTGTAACTAGCATAAGCAGTAGGTCAGCATCGCCGAGAACTCGGCATCGTTTATGAGTAGCGTCCTAATAACAGCAAAAGGCAGATGTGACAGTTGGCTATTGAACTACTCCGTGGTGGATAGAAAATGGCAACTCATCCGATCGATCAATATGTTGTTGGTGTTTCTCTTGCAAGACACAGGAAGCGCGATCCACTCGACATATACGCGCATGAGAAACGGACAAACGTTCACATTAACATATAGAGTTAGTGAGACCGATTCTATGCTTTTTCAGTCCTGCAACAAAACGAATAAGATTTAATCGACATCTCCTTTTGGGAACCATTTGTCGTATTTAGAAGCTTGAGTTTTAACTCGCTCAGCTAATCATTTTCATGTTTAGTCAACATGACAGCGAATCAACAAATTTAAAAATCTAAAACACTTTAAATATCGGGTGCAAATATAGCAGGTAATGATTATTCCGTTAGCGGAGTGGAGGATAAGTGGAGTGTCGCACGGAGTCGGTGGGTTACATAGAATTATCAGCTGGAACCCAATAAGCTTGTAGCGTTCAGAATTATGACCAGTTTAATTCAGTGCACTTTTGAATTCGTATCGAGAGGATAACAGTCCATCCAGTTGCTACGTACTCTCAGGATTACCTATTAGAGAGAATCCTGGATAGCTCCGAGATCAGAGAAAATTCGAAGACTGTGACCTCAATTAAAGAAAATTGATTCTCATCTTAGGCAGGCTTTTTTGTCCTTCAAAGCAGGCCGTCATCCGAACGAACACTACACATTTTCTATAACTACATCACAAAGAAGGCATGCATTGACGACGTTCTAGGCTGTTTTACTTATACTAACATGTCAACCATTAGCCTGCATCCTGCCTTCTACCTTTTAAATTTACAACTATTCGAATCACCGAGATCAATTAATTCAATAGGCTGTCGCGCCAGAAGTGTGACAAACGTGGCCGACATAAACCTGCAGACAGTCTTTGCTAAATTTAGAAAACCATTTGATTTACGTTATTTTTTTTACACTTATAGAAAATATGGCACCACAAACTGTTCACCTTGTCGATAGCTTCTTTCGGCAAATAGCGGTATTTATTTGGCGTTTCGAGAAAGATGGATTGGACGCCCTCTAGCACAGATATTGGCTACTTTTCACACAGCACAAGATCATGCATGCAACGATATTTTATAAATAGACCCTATTTATGGCTATTAGTTACCTATATTTTTATATATGCATGCTTAATGTTTATAAATCGATTAGACTGTTAAACAGCTAACAGATAACGCTAAGTATGTTTACAGTTCTGCAAACAGCTCTCATGCTTGTTGCCAAAGGTTCGCTCTCACTCTCTCCCTATATAGGGAGAGAGAGAGAGATCTTATATATATCTACTGTTCGTTAGTTGGTAGACCTCCAGTAATTGCGAATTTAGTCAGTCCAACACGCATGCTTGGCACGGTACAACGTTTCTTTTAATTACTATGATCGTCACTAAATTGTAACGTGCAGAAGTGCTTAAGATTGCACTAATCTCAAGTCTTGCTTATTTCGCTGTTTTCATATGCTTGCGCTTTCTCGACACTGCTCGGGTTGGTGCGATCGAACGGCAACGGCATCATGATCCAATCGACTATCGAAATCGTTTACCGTCGACGTCGTTTCGCCATGATCGTCTCTGACTTCGACGACGTTGTCCGACGGCTATATTGTGAAACATGATGTTACCAAACGATAACTGGTTCTCCAACCTTACTGACTGATTGACACTCAACGACGACGACGATGATGATCATGATCTCTTCTTATTCGTGATGCTCTACCATCCGTAGGCCCCTGTCCTTCCGGGCAGTTACTCGCCGCCCCCGCCACCTCTGCATCATCCCGGTCTACTGCCCCCGCTCGACGGTGACCGACTCTCAGTTAATACCCACACACAGGTCTGACGTCCGTGGGTACGTGGTTATGTCAAATGCTCCATCCTAATGATAAACTAACTGCTGTGGAAACGAGCATCCGAAAACGAACCAGCAGCAATAGCAGCAAAGAACAGTACCAATGAAAACATGCGGAGAACATTCAATTATCGTATGAAGACGGTAGGGGGCAACAACTACCACATATAGCGCGAACGAAGGGAATACCGGACCTTCCGGATGTTCCTGATAATTGCTATCTGCTTACGGAGTTGTCGCGTACCTTAAATTGACCAAGACCCTGAGTGACAAATCATTTCAAATAGATTTACTTTGACATAGCTTTGCCTAATAGTAAATTAGCGATAAACACTGCCAGATACAGGTTGTCTACCTAAGCTAAACGACTAACCCAAACCTGACAGATGAACTATCAGGAGTGATTCAGTGAAGCTCTGATTAAACAACTCGCAAAAACTAGAAGCTAATCTGCCATCACCTCAACCAACGTCTTTCTGTTAGTAGAGGATTATATCTCAGGCGTACGATGCTAGCCCTACCGTATCCACTGCTACTACTTCAGTTTTTACTCGTGACACGACTAGTTCTTCCCCTCTGCTCTCTTCCGCTGTTTGCAAAAAGAGAGGGTTTTTAAGCCGGGAGATGTATTAGTGGCTGAACGAACCTGACTACCACAGCAGCCATTGCGTGTAAAGCACATGATAAAGCTTAAAGCGAACGGCGGCAAATCAGTTGCTTCATACCACGCATATATAAGGACGGCGAAAAAGGACACCCAAAGCGATGGAACAAAGGCTGTAAACTTTTATTGGACGAGCGTTACTGTCAGTCAGAAACAGCACCAAACTTACAGGACGCGTGAAACAAAGATGTCTATATATGTGAGAAGTGTTGACGCAAATGAACTCAATCTTGAGAATGTATCCGTGCTAAGCTTGGGGAAATCTGAATCATACGAGAGCCAAGTGCATTCATCGATCTTGTTTTCCATTTAGACCTTCTCTGGAAAGCCGACGTCGACGAAATGTTCTTTTAACGTTGTAGTTTGGTCAGCTAGGGTGCATTTAGTTGTACAGTGTAGTCAGAAAAAGACAAAGATAAAGTCCGTACGAGAGCTAAACAAGTGAACGACGTATCCCGTGATAAAAATAATGCTGGTTCACGTATAGACGACTAACTAACTGGCCCTTGGCAACACATTTATTACATAAAAAATTATCACTAGTGCGGGCACACAAACATACAGACGTGACAGTTGTCACTGAAAAAAGACAATTGTTAGTCACAAAGGATTTACTGATATTATTAAAAAAAAAAGATGAACATTTTCTGTTAGTCTTAAACATCAGGAAACAATCCATGATCGATCACCAATATCAGGAACTGTGCGCGGCAAACGACAAAATCAATGACAGTTCAGATAGAATGAACAGTTTGTTATTTTTCTACCTTGAAGTGAAAGATTATTGGACATTTTGAAGATATCAAGACCGTTCGCTTCACTGTAGAGAAGAAATTAACTGGAATAATTGAGAGATTGATCTGACACGGCTATTTTAGCTTGTTTGTATATGCTTCATATTTATGCAGGCCGATATCAGAATTCATGACGGGTCTATTGCTGTTTGTATAGATAGAACGCCGCGTGAATGTTACGTTCTATGTCATTGTTTTGCAATACTTTCATGGATATCGCTACTGTTGACGTTGCTAAGAAATCTGAACTGAAAATTGACAAGGTCAGTCAGTAAGTTGGACGGACGCAATTTATAACAAACGTTAACTAATAACTTTTTATTTCTATAAATTTTGTCACCACCAAAATGCGAAGAACATCGTACGTGTGGATTTGTACAAATTTAGAGATGTTATGGCGCTAACTACAATTAGGCGATATTTAGAACGAAATCAAATGTCTCCTCTTGTGTTAACATAAGAATACTTAATTCTAACGCCCAAGGTCACCTGTAACATTGTTACATTATTCTACGGTTGCTTTGCTCCTCAATCAAAGCATCAATCGATACAGGGCGTTGAGTGTGAACGGCACCCTGCTGGATTTTGATTTAAGTAAGAACACTGCGGAGTTGATGATGGGATACGGCACCATTAATATTTTCAATGCCGTCATTGTTTGAATTAAGTAGCATTTCTGACGTAGTTTTTCACGTATAAACAATTGTTATTGTAAACTGCCGAAAACATTGATGCTTAGCATTCACCGTAAACAGGCAGAGCTAGATATAGACAGAGCCTCAAAATGTGTCACCATAATTTCGTCTACAAATAACAGATATAGTCAATATTCTTCTTTACGTATTCATGCAGTTGTCACGTCGACAAAACACAAATATGCAAGCACACGGGCGACAGACTCGCAGTACTTTTCACAATACATATACAGAGACGTATATATTTCTCAATGCGTGTCGGGGGTGGCTTGAACCGGAAGGAATAAAGGCAGTACGCAAACAGCAGCCCAAAGTGAATCAGGCAAATCATGAAAAAGGTAGCGACTCACTCTGAAACGAATTAGGAGAGTGATAACAGAAAGGAAGGTATGCTGTAAAGGGGGAACACGTCAACGGCTCTACCGCTAATCAGAGCTCGAAGAATTTTTTATACACCACCTTCCTTGCCCTATGGTGAAGTAGGATTACTGATATAGTAACTACTGTCCCCATAATGTCGAACCGAATCGGTCGCAACGAGTGTAAACAAGGCAATGACGTATAAATCTTCAGTTCTATTTTTAAGGGTAGAAATATAGGGATCAGAGTTGGAGGGGACGAGAGGAAATGAGTCAACGTGCTAGGCTGAAAGAGACAAAAATCCATCTATCGATTTTCGGACACACATATTTAGGGTACGGGGCTAAGGGAACCAGGGCGGGGGACAACATAGTGTGCTGAGCATGACACAAGGGTTCAGCGCCACCGCCGACAGCAGGGACTCTGCGCTTTCCGAACGTATATCTTGAATAGCCCGCGTCGGAAAATGCCCCCGCAGGCCAAACAGACAATGGCCCCGGTAACGGCGTCCGCACGGAGGAAACGTCACGTTTCCGCGTTGTTGTACATAAAGAACTCCTCTTGTTGAATAAAATAAATCTGCTAAAAATAGTAATGATAATAACGGCATGTATGTATATGTGTAGACCGATAATGGGCGTGGTAACGATAGCACACTGATGAAGACAAAGCACTCCTGTCCAGTCGGTCGCCTCTGGTCATAATTTCTGGCTATTATAATAACTAGCAAAATAAGAAAAAAATAATGAAACGTGTTGCTGGAGTCCAACGCGCCTGTAACGCTTGCGAAGAGTGTTCAACTCGAGAGGACCAATCCCACAACACAAACGACGCAGCAATCTTCCCAATAAACATATGCCATTATGAATACGTACGGCACACGGTAGAATAAAGACATCGATAGACGGTGGGCGATTTCTTTTAATCTATACAATGATACTAACAATATTAATAGGAATAATTATGATGACTATTGTTAATTAGTTTTCTATTTTAACTAGTTGCTTAGTCAAACCCATATTTGACACTTATGCCAATAATGGTTCAAACAATTGGGGCTGAATATTAAGTTGTAGCTTAGCTGCGTGCTCTGCACGACCCAGTTTCTAGGTAACCTCTCGTTTTTAATTGTATATTAGGGCCTATTAAAAGGTTAGAACGGATTCCACTCCCAGAGGCGACGCAAATACTATTAGGCCGCATTTTTATCACATACATTTTCGCATCTATTCGATCTCGGACAAACTTGAAACAAACATTAGAGCACAATTGACTTCTGTCAGTCTTTGTACTGGATAGGACTGGTGCATGTCAGCCTGTTTAGGAAGTTGGCCATTTTGATTCACCTAAAAAACTAGCAATTGGCGAATATCCTATGAAGAAGAGCTTGATAAGACAGTAGAACAAGACTATTTTTCTCTACTAAGGGGCCTTAACTTATGAACTCAATTATTTGATCAACAAGAGTCCATACCGCTACTGTCATCCCCTATGTTTATTACTGGTAATCGAGAATTATTATTATTATCATCAATTTGTATATTAGAATTATTATGTTTGTTATTATTTCAGGTAATGCTACATTCTTAAGCTAACGATAATAGGAGGGTACGTTACTTTATAAACAATTTTTCTACAATAGCAAAATGATAACAATTACCGATATTTTGTTAGCGCGCCGCGGAGAGTTATAATATAGATAAACAAGTCTGATTTACAGGGACAAAAGAAAGTAAAGAAACGTTCGAACGCCCTAGAACGGTTAGAGAGAACACGATTACGACAAAGTTTAAATTAAAACCTTTAATAAAAGATAAACTATTTAATAAAAAAAAAATAGAGCTGTATTTTTTCTAATCAAATCAGTGCTTCAATGTGTTTCGTTCTGTGTGGGCTGTGCTTTGTTTCTTGTACACATTTGTGCCTGAAACTATCCTGCTGTCAAAACCTAGGTCGGTCATCTTAGGCGTTATCATTTCTTAACACTACCATGCATCAACAGAAATCCTAGGTGTATAGCGTAATCATATATGTTGAAGCTGTGCAAAAAAACAACGTCTGGCTTAAGACGTTGTTTTTTTGCACGTAAGAACGTTGGCTCATAAGAGACTCGATTGATTCATGTGAGGAATATGTGAATTGACTTCACGATTACATTTTAAGCTACTATCTAAAAAATCTCGCAGTTTATTGTTACTTTAGATATTACTTTGCCAAAACTTTACTGATTAGTTAATAACATTTTGACGATAAACGAAAGATGGCTGTACACAGAAGCTTCGTACGAAACACCGTCACGATGTTCTTTGAACTGTAAACTCCCGGTCACTCAAACGCACTATCCACTACAGAATTAATATCTTAACCATATAATCGCTAATAACGACCCGTTGTGTTCTCGAAACGTTCGTATTTCTTGTATTCTTCATATTTGACTGAAGTTGAAAAACTTGAATTGAAAAGTTCAAGGAACCATCACTATTTTTCCTTTATTGTATCGGATCAACAGTATTGTGAGGTTGCGTCCGAAGGTACAGCGGCAAGATTAACCCAATCATTGTCGTTCAATGGCAACTTATTTACCTGCCGCATTGTACAGCATCATGCACAATAGCATAGTTAACGTGTTACTAATGCCCATTTAATTCGTTTACAATACAAAACAGTGTTACCTAACAACCATATACCCCCCCCCCCCCCGTCGATTCAGATAAAGATTCTTCCTGAGAATATCAATATCGGCTTAAAGAAACACTTACATGAACAATACGAAAGTTCTAGCCTGGCCTATAACCGAAAAACAAACCTATAGGTGTTAGACGTAGTAGACACATGAGTATTACAGTGTTATTCGAACGGCTATGATCTATTATTATGAGTTGATACAAAGTTTTGACCTAAGGAATGTCGTGCCGATCATCCTCTTGGGGGCGAAAGTTCGAGATAACTACGCCTTCTTTCTATGCAGTTCTTCAGATCTTGAGAAAAGAAAATAAGTTTATTTCATTCCAATTAAATTATTCCGAATGAGTATCGTCGTCGTTCACTCTAAGGAAAGAAGACTATAGATTCGTAAATGTAGGAGCCGTGTGGCATGTCTTTTTGACGCTCTTCACCGTTTAGGTAGAACGAATTTCTTTGGCGTTGAGTCGGATCTGTGAAATCTGTTGATGCACAGCACTGTCTGTTACAGTTAACGGAAATATATGAAGCCCTCATATCAAAATTACTTACACCCCTCGCCCCCACCAGATGCACTTTAATTAAGCTTCATTTCTTTAATTGCATACGTTGTATAATACATCAAAACATATAGTAATCTAATATAGTAATATAGGAAATGATTTCTTAAATAAGCCTCGTTTCTGTGGTCGCATACATCCCTGATAAGTTTGTCTAATCCCAAATGGAATTTCGTTTCCCAAACTATCAGTTTCATCTGACTAAAATTAATTAACATTTTAATTAGCCATAACTATCAATTTCTATGGCTTTTGTTCGACCACGCGTTCCGCTTGATTTACCTAGGTTTCCGTCAGGTGTGGCTGTCTGTTGTTATATTGAGTACATATTACCGAACGACGCCCCTTGGAGGATTCTTTAATCCTGAAACCTATTTTATTTGCAAAATAGTACGTATAGTATGTATCATAATCTAATATACTATCATTCTGACAGTTTTTAGCTTCCGCTGGTACTAACTTGATACAAACCGAATACAAACCGGGGTTCCAATTGAAGGCCGCGAAGAAGCCTGTAACGTGGCTATATAAGGTTACTGCGTTTCAGTCAAAATAATGAAAGTGTTTTTATGTCCGATTCAAAGATAGATTCTGTAAAGCCACAGTATCATGGCACATATATAGAGCCGTTGTTCTCTATTATAGCTACGGTGCGATGTACACGTCGGTGGATTATAAGGCCACTGTGTTCAACACAGCCTTAATACTTAGTACACCTATGGTGTATAGAAAACTTTTTGCAACTTTCTCAACTCTTGCTTTAAATAGTAGGACCCTTCAGTTGCAGGCTTGATCCGCCAGAGGGTTAAAAAGCTGTATGCTTCAATATCAACGACCGCCTAACAACAGGACGTCTTCGTCCAATGAGTGTTAAAAAACATAAAAGAGCGAAATCGATTGCTACATACAATCTGCAGCGGCAGACGAACCCCTATGATGCCTGCAAACGGTTAAATGACCGAAAAATAGACCCAGAGTCAATTCGCATTCTGTATTTAACTATTTATAGTGCAGGATTTTAGCAGTCTTTAATTTAAGCACATGCCGTCTAATTACGACACCTAATTTCTACTTTGCACTGTGTCAAACTTCAGCTTACACCCAAATGAATAAATGACACAATTTTCTGAACATATTGTAATCTTAGGTCGAATTTTCATTTTTTTGTCATAGATTCAACTGAAACACACAGAATTGTATACAAAATCAAATTTCGAGTTCTGTACAACGGCAGAGAAAATAGAATTCTGTCAATGTTCTAGTATCCTAATATTGAAGTTTAGCTCTTCTCGAAAAAAATTTATTCGCAATCTGACCTTAGACAGGTAAGTAGACACTGACACGTTCGTACGTCGACCGTTTTCCTTTGTGTATGAGACATCTTTGGCGGGCAGACCAGGCAAGTCTCGGTAATAGTATGGTGAATAGTGTATATATCTGTTAAACTTGAGGGACGCATGTTGGTCTGGATTCGAATCTGAGCGTGGATTCGTGCTGGGAGCCAACCGTCTGATAAAAGACCTAACCAATGGTATCGGATATAAAATTTAAAACATTTGAAAGCAGAACGGATGGGAGGTTTATGGGTGACTATCTGACAAAGGCATAGCAAAATGCTATAAAAAGCAATAAGGAGCACGTCATTTATCAGATGTCAGTAGACGGTCCTGCATTTCGGCATCGAACAACCTTTTAAAATTCTGTGATACTGGAACGTATCCTAGCGGGGTATCACGAAGGCCTTATGATAAACAGCCGAAAGCATGTGTTTGTGCTATATTCGACCGAGAGGTGTCTCTCGAAACCTTCCTTGGTTCCACGGGAGGGACCGAACGTATAGATATAAATACCAGCGAATTAGCAGGGCAGATATTGCAATTTCGCTGATGTTGCTCACACAGAACACATACACGATAAAATATTACAGGGAGGAATTATTAAACGGAAGTTTTCCTGTAAAATGTAGAGTGATTCCGAGGGTATTTTGAAATAACTAAATGTCTAATAATAAGTTTTTTTTCTCAGTTGCAGACATTCATTTATGATATAAAAAGAGTAATTAACGAACACATATTGTCTGTAGGTCCCAAAAGCTACTGCGGAACGCAACAAAAGGCTTTTACGAAAGGTGTGTATAACTGGGACGCAGCTTTCGTACATTGCCTGTAGCTTCCTGCAATAAAGCACTTTTAATTCTTCCAAAATTTAATTATCTCAATGCAATTAATCTTAATCCCATTTTAACTTAAATCCTATAGTAAGTTCATTATTATATTACTAAGCATGAAAAACAGGAGGAAAAAGAAAGATGTCAAACAGAAAATACAACAAAAAAAATGTGCTTGTTAATCCTCCGTGGCTTATTTATTATAGCAAGCTATTATAATAATTATAAACATTAAAAGAAAAAAAGCTGACAATCTTTCTGTGCCTGCTATGCGCCTCATAGAGTGATTGTTCATAGACATTTTACTGATTAAAAAATCTGCATAGACGTTAACACAAACTACCACCGAGCTCAGTTTGACCGCTGACTTTCACCCTTGTAATATCGCCGTGTTCTGTCTCCTAAAGGCAGCTTGGCTTGCTGTAGATAGAGTATCCCCGGTAGGGATATTGAGTGAATGACTGCTACATAAAGGGAAAACAGGATCGTTACGTTCTCGCGCATCGCTACATTTCTGGTGAGTGTCTTCTATCTTCAATTCTACGCATACGAAACGTCGTGTTTCACAATTTAAACTAGGCCTACTCTTTTATCACGGAAACGTGACGTGCAGTTATGTTGGCAGGCAAAATGACGAGGAGCGAATACAGAAACGGTTGGTCGTGGCGCTAAAAGCGGAAGCCTATTGGCCTTGACTTTATTTTTTCGCCTTCCCTTTGACCGTTGTCACATAGATAGAAGGATGGGCCAAAACTCGAACGGCGTTTAGCCCCCTCTACTCCGTAACGCGGCTTATCTGTCACATCACACGGAGGCAACAGAGTGAGCATTACATGTGATGAAAAAAGTAGGATCAGTAACCATATATCAACGTCAATTCTTACTTTCTCTCCTACATCTTCAGCTTAACTTAAAGCCACAGAAATTCAAAGTAAGTTTACGTTGCGACTCAGACATTCGTCACCTGGCTGAGCGCAATGTAAGTTCAAATCAACGAAAATGTTTTTTTGTCTGTATCTGAAAAATTCTAACCGTGGCTGGTTGATGAAGGTACTACACAGCGATTTTTTTCGAAGCTTCCATTTTAAGTAACGTGATATTTTTCCAGGTGTGCACCTCCTTATCTACTTTGCTGTTGTGCTTGATCTATTTGAGTCGAATGAAAAATGTGAAAGAGGTTGTTGCATGTTCCACACGGACCCCCGTAACAGCCTGATAATCAGTTTACTATGAAAGCAAACGACGACACGGAGGTACGGCTGCACTTTACTGCCAATTATTTTACACTCCCGTCACGGCCTGACAGAGTGAAAGGTGAAAATCAGATGCCATTACCTTGCCTATGACGTAGTTCATATATCTGACACATTTGACATAATCAATCATCAGCC